CACCGCGACAGAGAAAGGAGAAGAAAAGGGCTAAAAAAACTGAAAAGAAAAACGTCTTTGGCTCAGCCGTCACTTTTTCCGTTTTTCCTCAGACGCACAAGGTCCTGAACCCAATTAATGGCTAATAATTACCAAGGCCACTCCACTATGAGCGCTTCTGGGGACTTCATTACGATGAGCTACATGTGGTCTTCTTGGGTTTATAGTTACATTTTTGTGTTGACAAATAATAATAATACAAATAATAATAATAATAATAATAATAATAATTATTATTATTATTATTATTTGTATTATTATTATTGTTTTGGTGCTTTTTTATTTTTGGGACATCCCCTCCCCTCCTCTCCACTCCCCTCCACTCCCCTCTGTGTGTGTGCCGTTCGCTCCCATGACATCGACTGTGGCCAAATTACAGTGAACATTTTTACAATGCTTCACCAAAGCGGCCGCCTCGGCCTTTTGAAGTCTCTGTGTCCACCTCATCCCCAGGTTAGGACTGAGAGGAGCTGCGTTTCACATATTCTTGTGCGCGCTGATGTTATCAGCGCCAAACGTCTAATCCAGAGACCCGGAGCCCTTTGCTGCCTGGATAAAGCTTGGGTTTCATCTGCAGCAGCAGCTTCGCTGTTTCTCTCTCTCTTTCTCCCTCCCTCCTTCTCTCTCTTACTGTTTCTCTCTCTCCCTCCCTCTCTCTGTGTGTGTGTGTGACTGTGTGTGTGTGTTAGTCTAACCACACCAGTTCACTGAACCTCTGTATGAACAGTTCCTACTTCCCTATATTGCGTTTTTGAATAAGCTACTGGTTTCTACAGCCTGCACAGTCAACGATACAATCTGCCGGTGTGACGGGGGCTGATGTACCGTGCTGCTTTGTTGCTGTTGATTGTTTTATTTATTTTTTAATCCCATTAAATTGTTCAAATATTGGGATCGTAGAGAAAACAACACATGGATTCATATGTTTATATCTTTCTTATTTATCTTATATTTTTACATTATATTTATCTTTCACTATTTTCTTGTTCGGTTGGAACCACGTGTATTTACACAAATAAAGAACAACCCGAACGCCCCCCAAATAAAAAAAAGATTAAAAATATACAAGTTTAATTCTTGCAGATGCCAAATTCGTTTAAGTTCAGCCATTATTTACAAAATCATCCCCACATTAGTCTTAATATTTGCGAATTCCTCCACTCAAAAATATTTGTTGCACTAACCGCCCTACCAGAAGGTGGTGCCCTCGCCAGTCACCTCTCTAAAATAACTCCTGTAATAATGCTGCATAGAAATAAATGACTGTAACTGTAAGTGTTTACAGAGAATTGAACCTCGTTACCAATAGTCACTGTTCCCGCTGATAGAACGGATTCGTGACTGATTGTCACTGTTTATTTTGAGAAGCTGCGTCTGCCCTGGTCTTTTTTTAATTTGACCACAATACTGACACTAGTTTCATTAAACTGTCATTTCAGTATTTATACGTAATGGTTTTGAAATTAAATTAATCATATATATATATATATTTAAATATATGCATTCAATAAATGACCCTAAACATCAGTATTAGCCCGTCTAGTGGTCCCAAGCCGCGGTTTGACTTTAATATATAACTGTTGCCAATATATATTATTGTCTGTGGATGAGCCGCCACAGAGTCTAAATTATAACTGTTGCCAATATATAGTGTTGTCTGTGGATGAGCCGCCACAGAGTCGCTCTATGAGGGGACAGTGAAGACGATATCTGGGTGAAGGAGAGTGGCAGAAATATTCGATTTTTTTTTTAAAGCGCGAGTTTAATGATTCACTTCAGCTTCTTTCTTATATTTTCTAATCATGCATGCGATGAATCATGTAGAAATTCCATGCACGGAAGAGTAAACACAGCACACCTCAGCTGTGGGTGGAGAAGGCAGTGCAGAAGTGTGTGTGCAAACAGAAAAAAAGGAAAAAGAAAAAAAAAAGCTGCTGAAAACTTTAAGTGTTCCTGAGAATTTTTCCATTAAAGGTGTGCGAAAAAGAAAAAAAAACTCCGTCGACCATAATCCCTAATGGAACCGAGTCAAAGAGCAGCACTTTGTTTTTTCGACTATAATCACAGCTAATTGGCCTTTTAAAGAAGGTGCTGCACTGTGTGAAATCACGGCTCCAAACCGATGATCGGGATCAGACTCCAGAGGCCTGAACTCAACCGTCTCTGACTGTGGAATGAAACCATTTGTTGAAAAAAAAAATACAGTTGCTTATCTTCGTTTTTTCTTCTCTTACACTGCGTCTGCCATGTACATGATCGATTAGGGCCTATCGATTAAGACAATGGATTATGGACATCTTGTCGCCGCGCTTTAAATCTTCCTGCAGACACAGAGGAATAAACAGAACCTTTGTACAGCACTGAATGTATTATATCTTTATCGACCTGCTGCGTGTCGTCCTTTTATTTATCTGCTAATTTATCGTCGATTCAATTTAGCGGAATTATTATTATTATTATTATTATTATGTCGTTTATTACGCTGAAAATATTTAACATTCGTTAAGTGACTACATTGTGGCAGCGCACAGAGCAGTGAGGAGTGACATTGTTCACACTCCTCCCTGGATGTCAGGACCAACTCCTTAATAACACAGATAATGTATGCAAATTACAGCTGATTATTATTGATTAATGATCACGTTTTTCCTTGAAAAAAAAAAATCCCCACCGGCGATTCTTGTCCAATTTACTCTGAAGACGTTCTTAATGAAGTCGAGTCTTTTATTCTAATGGATTGTTGACGCCTGTGCCTTATAATGAGCAACAAGCTGGGAGCAGAGACCTTGGCATAATAATAATAATAATATGTATTATTATCATTATTATTGTTATTATTATTTTTGTTGTTGTTGTTGTTATCATTATGCGCACAGACGGTGAGGCTGCTCCTCCTCTTCCTGCATCATCGCTCCATCATCACCGATCTTTAATAGGCTCCAACACAGAGCCGCCTTTATCCAGGCCGAACCAGACGGAAACCATTCCCATATGACACGAAGGCTAAAGGCCCCGGCACCGCAGCAGTGTGGAAGTCTGGTCAGCCACCGTCAGTCTGGACTGGACTGGATTAGTTATTACAACAATCATATTACAATTATACCTAGTGTTTTCATTAAGCCTGCAGTGGCTTAATATGAATTCAATGCTAGAGTACAGAAATATTATTATTATTATTATTATTACAATACAAATTAAAAAATATTTGTCTTATTAAATTCATATTTTTCATAATATTTGCTTCTTAAATTATTGCTGCGGAATTTGGTGCTCGTTATTAAATAAAAAAAAAAGAAAAACGTGCAGGAAAAAAAAGGTCAATATTACCTGAGTCTGTTGCAGATTTTCTGGACTGACCTGAGGTCGTCCTCGAACCTCCGACCTGCAGCAGACAAAACAAATCAAACTAACCAAAAAAAAAAAAAAACACATGTGACCAAGTTTACACTCACCGGGGGGAAGTCAGCTCCTGGTCCACCTTCGTCCAGGTGTTTTAGACTTTACACACGACACAGGCGGCGGTGAAGCAGTCGACACACTCACTCACTCACTCACTCACACACACTCACACACACACACACACACACACACTTCTGTAGGAAATAAGTGGGACAAACACCAGTGTTTTTTGTGTGCGTGCGTGCGCGCGTGTGTGTAGTGGTGCTGGAGGAGGCATGTGTCAAACAGCTGCTGGCCGCTGCAGGTCCTGAGGGCAACAAGGTTTACACACACACACACACACACACACACACACACACTACGTTCAAAATATCACAGTGTGTTCTCCAAGTCTGCGATGTGTCTTTTTAGACCTAAATATATGCAACGATGACCATTTGACAAAACACGCCACAAAATATAAACTACGAAAATAATAATAATAATAATAATAATAATAATAATAATAATCAGCAGCAGCAGCACTGTACTGAGTTGATCCTGGTTGCCTGGGTCATACCTCTGTCTCCATCCCCGGGTTGAAGAAAACCAACTTGTCGCAGCGGTAAAAATACGAGAAGGTTCTGGCAGGAGCTGAATGGGGCGGGTGGTGGTGGTGGTGGTGGGGGGTTGTTGTTGTTGCTGTGGTTCCGTCTTGGTTGGTTATTGGGAGGCAGGGAGGGAGATGGGGAAGGTGAGATGGTGAGGAGAGAGCAGGAGGAGGAGGAAGAGGAGGAGGAGGGGAAGAGATAAGTGATCTAAAGGGGAGACGATAGGACAAAAAAGTGATGATGATGATGAATACATTGGAAAGTTTTTTGGCCCCGGCGCGGGTGTCAGATTGAATGGCCTGTGCGCATGTGCGAAGGTGTCCAAACTGACAATGCTGGTGAGATGAAGATAGTGTTGTTGCTGCTTCTGGGCTCACGGAGGACGACGAGAGGAATCTACAATCCGACAAGATGAGATCCAAGGCGCGGGCGAGAAAACTGGCGAAAAGTAAGCTGCTCCTTCTGCTTTCCTCCACATTTCCTCCACTTCTGTTCGTTTTCGGCCGCCGGCTCCTAACTCCTGACCGGCCGTGTTCGTACATGTCCAGTGTGCGTCCTTGTCATTGGTCATATCCTTTGGAAAACTTAACAGCAGTTACGGTTACGGCTTGCTCCGCAGATAAGTTTTTTATTTGCGCTGGGAACGGTGCGTCCCGCTCCGGCCGCTGCTCTGCGCCGTTTCCCCCTCAGCATGCTGCGGTGGTCGTGTGGGCTTCGCTGCTCTTACTGTGTCACAAAGTTTCATGTGTGATGAGAAAACGCCGCTGGCGCTGGAGTCGCTCTCACTCCTGTATGTGGAGCTAAACATGTGCGTCCTGCTCGTTTCATTTGGTTTTTAGCCTTTTGCGCTCGTCGGAGCTGCAGAGTCGTGTGAGCTTCCGAAGAAAAAGTTACAAAGAAAGTTGCAGAAATGGAATAGTAACTTTTTTATACAGCACTTCTTGTCTTGTCAAATAATATTCCCGGCTTTTAAAATAGTGGGCGCTGTGGCACTGCTGCTGCTGCTGCTGCTGCTGGAGGAGGAGGTGGAGGAGAGGCTGCAGCTCCTACACCGACTCTCCTTCACTCACACAGCCGCAAACGGAGGTGAATTTAGGAAGAAAATGATTTTAATGGAGCCGCCGAAGGAGCCACCGACGCACGGGCACGCTGGGTGTTTGCTCCCAGGGCCTTCTGTGTGTGTGTGTGTGTGTGTGTGTGTGTGTGTGTACTCCATGGTTCCACCTCCAGGGAACCACAATCAATAATAATATCACGCACCGTGTAAGAAGGCGCCCATAACTACAGTATACACTTTCGTGGAGTGCTGCTTGCGTCACACTCAGAAAAAAACAAAACCGTTTTCAAGTTTTGTCAACATTTGCACTTTGTGGCTGTAAATGGACCAGTTTTGTTGTATAGTTTTTATTGGTGAACGTCGTTTATTCTGGCACTGCGCGGATGCATGTTGTTGTTGTTGTTTTCAATCATATTTATAAAGTCTTTTTTTAATGCATCCACTTTTACTTCTTAGCATGAGCTGCCGTGAAGGTGTGCCGTTGTCTGCTGATGCTGTCCTCACGGTTTATGTTCACTCAGTATTATTTTTGTAATTCCGAGGAACTCATTAACTTCTTTTTATAAATAAAAAAATCGTTCTTTGTGCTAAAAAATATTTAATTAAAAATGTTCTTGTTTGGATTCCAGTGCTGCATGTTTACAGACTTTTAACAACTGTAGCTGTGCCAAAGCCACCAGCCTGTTTAATTCAACTTAAACTTCGAACCTGACAACAAACACAGGGGATCATTTTGTAGTCGGCTCATATTTACAAGTTTTAATGCAGAATTTGAAAAAAAAAGTACAGATTTTCTTTTTACGTTTTCTTAAATAGCGTCATAAAATGCATATATTTTAACACGTGCATCCAGATAAATACTACAAATGTTAAAAGTACAACAAACGATTTTGAATTTTAATTTTTTGGCAGCTATGCTTTAAGTTTTTTTTCTTTCTCGAGATCGACCTCCCGCATTAGTTAAAGACAAAGAAAATAAATAAAGGCAGAAACACTAATTAAAGAGCTCCTGTGGGAAAATACACGTCCACGTCCAGGGTCCCGTTCTTGCCCTCGGTCTTGATCTACGTTGAAGAAAGAAAAAAAAAGCCCTGATAGTCTGTTGATCCCGGTGCTAATGAATATAAATAACCTGGATTTGTAGAACTAGAACTCCGGACTACTGCAGTCCTCACAGTCCACACAGGGCTGAGGGAAAAAAAGATTATATTCCAAACACAGGCCTTCAGCTTTGTTTTAAACGCTGGGGGAATATTATTCCTCCTTCTCCCCTATTATTATAATACATGTATTTCTGCAGCTCGGTGAAATACTGTCTCCGGTGTCTGAGCACAGAGTAAAACACAGACTTCACTAAATTCTATTTATTTATTTATTTATTTATTATGTTGTTTGCCTGTTCCTGTTTCGTACACGTTTAACACGTTGTTGGTCACTACCGTCTACAAACTCGTTGATACGCGGCATTTATTCATAATTAAACACATAATAATGTCAGTTCAACAGAACTTGTTCAAACATTTTTGCCTAGTTTTATTTTAAAAATATTTTTTTGTTCTACACTTTTGTAAATATTTAGTTCGGCTTTAATATTGTTTTGGGGCTAATTCGTGTTTTAGTATCTCGCTTTCAAATATGAATGGAGCAAATTAATTTATTATATTAGTTTATTTTTCAAATTCGAAGAACACTGTAGTGTTGTAGCATCGCGTCAACTTCCAATGGCTTTATTTCAGACAAAATGATCTCGTTAACAAACGTCAGACTGCAGCATCACCGCTGACACACATTTATTTTTCAAAAAGCTCCTTTTATTTTCCATAGCCTGCGCCAAGACTGGGCGCCGCAATAATAATAATAATAATAATAATAGATGGAGCAGAGCTGTTTGTGCGGGGAGACTTGGAAACACTGCGGGTCTTTTATTGTGGTAAACGTCTGCTGTGCCCACGTGCAGCTTTAAATTGGGTTTCAATTAAGACTTCCGGTTGAGAGTGAAAGTTTTTTTTTTTAATTCTCCCTCCCTTTCACACACACACACTCTCACTCACACACACTCTCTCTCTCTCTTTCTCTCACTCTCTCTCACCAACAGCCACGAATTAAAACAAAGTGTTTTAAACAGACAGGAGCTGACGCCGTTCTCTTTCTCCACCACTCTGAACAAACACAGCCACACTCCTGGTTATTTCTCATGCATTCATTTACAGTATAATCTATTGATCCCTGTGTTAAAGTTCCCTTATTATTAGCCGGACTCCCCAGTCATGAACTTGGCCTGGCTCAACAGCCTCTGATGTTTTGACAGAAGTAATAAAACCCAACCCATAACACTTTAAAACCAACAATGGCAGCTATGTTAACTTCTGGCTAAACGCTCAGGGTCCCGGTCGCAGGCTCTGGTGTATTAGTGCTGCTGCTGTGCAGCTGTAGTGTGTGTCAGATCGCACTGCTCCATGTTCACAGATTAGAGCCCTGCATTAAAATGATAGGATCATCAAATGCAGAGGAGCTGGGCCATTGGTTTGATGGACGCTGCTGGCTGCAGTTGTAATGTTAGTTTCAACATCATACAAATAATAAAAAAAAATTCTTTGGCTTTTATTTTGGAAACGACAGGATCTGTCAACACCTTTTTGGACGTTATATTTATTTTATAAAATATTACTAGAAGGGTTGAAGTAGAAATAGCCTTCTAGTTTACTAGAAGTATTGAAAATTTAACTTTCTATTTTCTTAAGCTGGTTATATTAATACAATATAATAAATATATAAAATGAATCCATATTCGTGGAAGAAATCTCTTACTCTTAAATTTCCTCTGCTTTATGTATGATGTTGTTAGAAAAGTTTGCGTTAGTTCATTAGGAACTAAACCTCTTATTAAGAGACAGAGATTATTTTAATAATTACAATCTCCCCAATTGTTAAAACAACATTAGTTCTGTTCAAAAATACCTTTTCAGTCTTTGCAGTGACATACTATAACAAAAAAAACACAACTTGTTTTGTGTTTCTTAGTCAGGCTAATAATAACAAATTATTGGGTCCAACGTAAGGCACTGGTTTACACTGGTCCACTGGCAGGCTGCAGGTATTTATTTACGACAGTTTGTTAAGTACACAGTACGCTCCTCATTGAGCACTGATGCTATTTGTCCTCCTTTAATATTTACTCCTTTAGCTTTTCCTCCTCTCTGTCGGTCTGCTGAAACATTCTCGTGCCAAACTCATAACTCAGGCCTTTTAGTCCCTGTTTAGTCTTAACATGAATTAACATTTGTGCAACAATTTGTTGTTACTGAAGCTGTTTTGGTGAAAATTAGGTCAAACTTCCAGTACAGTTACGTCAATGTCAGTCCACTGTCTGTTTCAGCAACATGTGGTCCACATTTGCTGCACATAATTTGATACAAATAAAGATGCATTGCCATTTGTAACCATATCTTCAAATTTTCTGTGAGAGCAGACTTTTTGAAGAATGTGCCTTCTCCCTCGTGAAGTATTACCTATTACCCTGAAATGTGGAGGACAGTGTAGCCTGAAGTCTGGGCTCCTGCTCCAGTCCTAAATCTTTGACTGGAGTCAGCCAATAAAGAACACTTCCATGATCTCTTCCACCTGTGCACGCCATAAACCCACGACTTTAGATACAAGGAGCATGTTACTCTGTGAACTCTGGAGCTGTAAAGCAGGAAGATTAATTTGTTGTAAGATAGTTGGGCTGATATATTAGAATTGTTTGTTTTAATAGTCTGTTTTACGATTCTCTTTTTTCCCCCCTCTGAAGCGTTTTAATGTTTTCTTTCGCTAACGACGCTCAGACTCAGTGTGATTTCAATGCTTCCATTGTTATTCAGACAGTTACTGTTTTAAATGTGCTGCCGTTTTGGCCGTGAACCACGTTTTGGAACAGACACGTCCAAGAGTGTGGATGTTGGAATGGCAGTTGAATGGTTGTGAGTGTACTAACAACGTCCATCCGTCATTTTTACACCGTTCAGCTGTTTCAAACAGCCTGTCCATCATATACTATCATATTTGTCTCCGTCTCTTGCTCTTTAGCTGATCATCTAACAGGTCTTACCTAAAGTTCAATGATAACACTCTATTTTTTTGTCACTTCAAATCACAATATAGCCCTAGAAAAATATCACACACATGGCTATTGTGTAATCAATATTTGCTATAATATCAGATTGATTTATTTTGACAGCAGACAGAGCAACTCCAGAGAAAGAAATAGAAACAGGAGGTTGGATCAGAAGCACACAATCACATGTGCGTGCATGCACACACATATTTACACTATATATATATATATATGACTAGCAGTGACAGGTTTTTGGGCAACTTTGTGATTTAACCCCAATCAATCACAAAGCAGAAAG